CCCATTTCTCACTTTCTCAAGGCCTTGCTAGGGACTTTACTTATCTGGTAGATAAGTTAACTGCTTTTAATGTTGTCACTTAAAATGCTATTTTTTTTTTTTTTTTTTAAGATGGCCTCTATAGACTGTAGATTGACTGAGCAACTCACTTAATAACAATCAGCCCTTGTATTGGGCTCACCGTGTGCAATCACTGTTTTACACTATGTATCTTAATTTATGTCATCCTCACAATAACCTTATGAGAAGGTTCTACTATTACAACTAGTACTGAGAAAACTAAGGAACAGATGGTTTAAGTAAATTGCTAAAGGTCACACCACTAGAAAGTATGCAGTCCAATATTGATTTATATAAATCAAGGCAATCTGGCTCCAGAATTGACACTATAATGCTATTTTTTCACTAGGAAAAAAAGTAAAATGGAGGTAATAATACCTACTTTATTGGGTTGTTTTTAAAGGTAAAATTATACCAAATATACGGCTTAGTCCTATGCCTATTTACAGTAGTATATGCCTTTATTCAATGTAAGTTCTTTCCCTTCCTCTCCAAACAATGACTGTTGTTGTTAGCTGCTGCTGCGTAGGTTCTGACTCATAGCAACCCTAAGTACAATAGAATGAAACTCTGTCAGGTCCAGTGCCATCTTCACAATCGTTATGCTTGAGTCCATTGTTGCGGCCACTGTGTCAATCCATCTCATTGAGGGTCTTCCTCTTTCGCTGACCCTCTAGTTTACAAAGCATGACGTCCTTCTTCAGGGACTGATCTCTCCTGATAACATGTCCAAAGTATGTGAGACTTGTCTTGCCATCCTTCCTTCTAAGAAGCATTCTGGCTGTACTTTTTCCAAGACAGATTTTTTCATTCTTCTGGCAGTCCATGGTATATTCAATATTCTACACCAACACCCTAATTCAAAGGTGTCAATTCTTCTTCAGTCTTCTTTATTCATTGTCCAGCTTTCACGTGCATATGAGGTGACTGAAAACACCATGGCTTGGGTCGGGCACACCTTAGCCTTCAAGGTGACATCTTTGCTTTTTAACACTTTAAGGAGGGCTTTTGCAGGAGACATGCTCAATGCAATGCACTGTTTAATTTCTTGACTGCTACTTCCATGGGTGTTGATTATGGATCCAAGTAAAATGAAATCCTTGACAACTTCAATGTTTTCTCCATTTATCATGATGTTGCTTATTGGTCCAGTTGTGAGGATTTTGGTTTTATGTTGAGGTGTAATCCATACTGAAGGCTGTGGTCTTTGATCTTCATCAGCAAGTGCTTCAAGTCCTCTTCACTGTTGGCAAGTAAAGTTATGTCATCTGCATATCGCAGTTTGTTAATGAGTCTTCCTCCAACCCTGATGCCCTGTTCTTCTTCATATAGTCCAGCTTCTCGAATTATTTGCTCAGCATACAGATTGAATAAGTGTGGTGAAAGGATACAACTCAGACGCACATCTTTCTTGGCTTTAAACTGCACAGTATCCCCTTGTTCTGTTCGAATGACCGCCTCTTGATCTACCTACAGGTTCCTCATGAGCATAATTAAGTGTTCTAGAATTCCCATTCTTCACAATGTTGTCCACAATTTGTTACGATCCACACAGTCAAATGCTTTTGCATAGTCAATCAAACACAGGTAAACATCTTTCTGGTATTCTCTGCTTTCAGCCAGGATCCATCTAACATCAGCAATGATATCCCTTGTTCTACGTCTTCTTCTGAATCTGGCTTGAATTTCAGGTAGTTCCCGGTTGATGTACTGCTGCAATCGCTTTTGAATGATCTTTAGAAAATTTTACTTGTGTGTGATATTAATGATACTGTTCAATAATTTCCATATTCTGTTGGATCACCTTTCTTTGGAATAGGTACAAATATGGATCTCTTCCAGTCTGTTGGCCAGGAAGCTGTCTTCCAAATTTCTTGGCATAGATGAGTGAGCGCTTCCAGTGCTGCATCAGATTGTTGAAACATCTCAATTGGTATTCCATCAATTCCTGGAGCCTTGTTTTTCGCCAGTGACTTCAGTCAGCTTGGACTTCTTCCTTCAGTACCATCGGTTCCTGATCATGTGCTACCTCCCGAAATAGTTGAATGTTGACCAATTCTTTTTGGTACAGTTACTCTGTGTATTGCTTCTATCTCGTATTGATGCTTCCTGCATCATTTAATATTTTCCCTGTTGAATCCTTCAGTATTGCAACTCAAGGCTTGTATTTCCCTTCAGTTCTTTCAGTTTGAGAAATGACAAGCATGTTATTCCTTTTTGGTTTTCTAACTCCAGGTCTTTGCATATTTCATTATAACACTTTACTTTGTTTCTTGAGCCACTCTTTGGAATCTTCTGTTCAGCTTTTTTACTTCATCATTTCTTCCTTTCACTCTCACTGCTCTACATTTAAGACTAACTTCCAAGGTCTCTTCTGACATCCATTTTGGTCTTTTCTGTCTTTCTTGTCTTTTTAGTGACCTCTTGCTTTCTTCATGTATGATGTCTTTGATGTCATCCCACAACTCTTCTGGTCTTTGGTCATTAGTGTTCAATACTTCAAATCTATTCGTGAGACTGTCTCTAAATTAAGGTAGGATATACTCAAGATCATCCTTTGGTTCTCATGGACTTGTTCTAATTTTCTTCAGCTTCAACTTGAACTTCACAGAAGCAATTGATGATCTGTTCCACAATAGGACCCTGGCCTTCTTCTGACTGATGATATTGAGCTTTTCCATTGTGTCTTTTCACAGATGTGGTCAATTTGATTTCTGTGTATTCCATTTGGCAAAGTCTATGTGTATAGCTGCTGTTTATGTTGTTGAAAAACGTATTTGCAGTGAAGAAAACGTTGGTCTTGGAAAATTTTATCATGCGATCTCCAGTGTCATTTCTATCACAAAGGCCATGTTTTCCAACTACTGATGCTTTTTCTTTGTTTCCAACTTTCGCATTCCTATCGTCAGTAATTATTAATGCATTTTGACTGCATGTTTGATCAATTTCAGACTGCAGAAGTTAGTAAAAATCTTCAGTTTCTTCATCTTTTGCCTTATTGGTTGGTTTGTAAATTTGAATAATAGTCGTATTAACTGGTCTTCCTTATAGGTGTAAGGATATTATCACTGACAGTGTTGTACTTCAGAATAGATCTTGAAATGTTCTTTTTGATGATGAACGTGACACCATTCCTCTTCAATTTCTCATTCCCGGCGTAGCAGACCATGTGATTACCTGATTCAAAATGGCCGATACCAGTCCATTTCAGCTTACTAATGCCTATGGTATCAATGTTTATGCGTTCCATTTCATTTTCGATCAGTTCCAATTTTCCTGAATTCATACTTCTTACATTCCATTTTCTGATTATTAAGGATATTTGCAGCTGTTTCACCACGTTTTGAGTCATGCCACCTCAGCTAATGAAGGTCGCAAAAGCCTGACTCCATCTACTTCATTAAGTGCGCGTCTAACAAGGCAGCTCTTCCTCAGTTGTATTTTGAGTGCCTTCCAACCGGAGGGGCTCATCTTCTGGCGCTATATCAGACAATGTTCCACTACCATTCATAAGGTTTTCACTTGCCAATTTTTTCAGAAGTAGACTACCAGGTACCTCTTCCTAGTCTATCTTAGTCTGGAAGCTCTGCTGAAACCTATTCACCAAGTGTGACTCTGCTGGTATTTGAAATACCAGTGACAGAGCTTCCAGTATCACAGCAACACACAAGATACCACAGTATGACAAAATGTCAGATAGGTGGTGGGAACAATGACTAAAGTGGAAAATTCTGAGTTGGGAGTTTTGGTGTGGAGGATAAACATTTCACATGGGTTGAAGAGTAGAAACCACTGTTCCAGTAAAAAATTTTAACCTTAATGAAATAATCATTCTCAAAGTCTTTAGCATGTAGTATTAATTTGAATGTACTAACAAAAGATCATTTTCACTAGGAACATCTCAGGTAAGTCCTAGAATATGATCTATTTGATCACACCTTCACATTGAAAGACCATAGCAGTTTATTAAAAATTTCTGCTCTGCAAGTATTATCACAGCATTTAAAAAATAGCTAGAAGTTGCCTAATATAATATGAATTTTTTTATGAATTAACCTTAACTTAATAGAGTTCTCAGGAAAAAAAATCACTTTTGTTTAAAAATATAGTTATTTAAAATTATTTACTAGTAAAATGTGTTGATTTTGGTTCAATATAATATGTCCCAATAAAAAATATTTTTGTTTCAAGGTATTTCTTAGTTATTTACTTAGAGATGGCCACCCTGCTGGAATTTGAATCAGAATACTGGAACAAAGCATTCTCCTAAAAGACAAGAGGAATTGGCAATCAAAATATTTTCAAAAAATCTGCTCCTAGAGGTTATTATTCTAGGAAAACAGCTAGAAAGATGACTAGAAAAATTGTATGATGTTTGCATTAAACTTTTCCAGTTCAAAAAATTTTATGTAAATTCAGGTTGTAATTCCACATGTATAAATGTATTACATAAACTGTGTGATAAATAAGGGAAAGGACAGATACTAAAAGGTTAGCTAGATCAATTCCTTCATTTTACCTTTTGGGAGATTTAGACTCACCCAAGATTCACAAATAAGTAGTGTGAGACTAAGACCCAAATGATCAGCATTTAAATCAGTGGTCTTTTTATTATTCCATGAAGATGTGTGTATGTATGTGTTTGTGTATTTCCATAAAATAAGTCTGTTCTTTGGGGCTAGTTTAAGAAATTCTATTTGAGTTCTCTCTCTTAGACATTAAATCACCAAAACTAGAATTAAAATGTTATAATTCTGAGGAATAAATAGCCATAACTTTAAATATTTTATGTTTAGAAAAACTCATATTACCCCCTGAGAAATTCATGTATGTACTTATTATTTATTTATGTGTGACAAGAAAAATGGTATGCTGTGTATCAAAAGTACATTTGCAGAAGTGGATGTCAAAGTCATTAAAGAGGTAAGTTTGTTACTCACTTATTAGATGGGCTATTGAGAGGACAGGCACAGGGCTGACAGTCTTCAGAGGTACCTTTAGTGGGATCGCCATAGAAAGCAGGAAGACATTCATTGCAATATGGGCCACTTGTGTGGTCTTTACAGTTCTGAGGAAAAAAAAAAAAAGAAGCACATCAGAGTTCATCATTTTGGTCTCAAGCATCAACATGCTGCCAAAAATTGGTCTAGAAAGACATTATTAGTCTGTTGCCTGCCAAGAAGAACAATGTCTCCACATTAAATGGTCACAGCACAGAAACAACACTAAAAGTTAATATATCTAGCTTATAAACTACATGTTAGTTTCAGCATATGCATAATTACAGAAAGATGACTTAAATTCATTATATATTGTTTCCACTTGCAAATCTTATCTCCTTTTTTCTTTAGTTTTTAATTTTTTTCTCAGTGAAAATGATTGTGTGTGTGTGTGTCTGTGTGTCTGTGTGTGTGTAGTCATGAGGCCCTAATAACATATGTTTATCGGAAACTGTAGATGATTCCAGGTAAAATCAATTGTTCAGCTTAAAACTGCTGATTTAATGGGGACTGTGGCTAATCTTACAAATTCTTTGGGATTATCACCCTCTTAACTCAGACATTAATTATGACCTTGGTGGACTCTGATGGTTTGGACAATACACTAATGTATTACACCTATGAGGGGTTTGCTTAACTCATAATTAAACATTGAGAAAACTGAAAAATTTTAAAGCATGTACCAATATATAGTGAAAGCACAAGGTATACAATATTTTTCCTCAGACACTTAAAAGAAAAGTGAAACTGCATATTATTGCCCATTCGTATTTTATAAAAAGACCTATGTCTTTTTAAAAGATACAGAAGCAAAATGAAATTATTTATAAGTCTTGGTTTCTTCATATTAATCAACTCAGGCTGTGTTCACAAAACTCAGGAAAACTGGTATAAAGATCGAACAGTTCTATTAATCAAGTGGTGAAATTGTCTATAAAGCTTCTAATAGTACAACCTAATAGATTTTTATAATGTTTTGGCATCATATAGACATAACTTCAATCTCAATGGCACAATAAAATATACCTAATTCCTATTAAAATAATATAGTATGAATTCATTATGAGAAATACATTTTTTAATTTGACAAGTACATAAAATTGCATTTTTCCCATGTTGCATTTCATAAGTATATAAAATTTGATAAATATATAAAATTGCATTTTTCCCATGTTGCAGAGTTCAGTAGAACTCAGGGGTGCATGGACTTAATTTTTATGGTCAGTAACCAAATTTGTGGAGAAAGTTAGTAAATATAAATTCACTTTAAATATAGAGTGAGAATGTATTTATCTGGACGACCTTTGGGATGACCAGCCTAAGCTAATAAAAGTTCTAAATTATTATTTAGTTCAATATATCTTTAAAGAAGTTAAATTTCAATTAAATATAGTAAATATATTTAAGAAAGTACAAATATACAAATACAGACATATTTTTGAATACAGTTTGTAAAAGCCCTTGGGAGAATATTTTACTGAGTAGAACAAACTTGAATTACAACCAAATCATTTAACTCTCTGAGCCTCCAATATGATCTACAGTCTGTAAAATAAGGGAGCTAAAGTCAATAATTTATAAAGTTTCCATACTCTGAAATCTCATACCATTTCATCAACTACTTATTAACAGGTAATTGAGTAATATCTGATGATACTTGAAAATAATTTTTTTTTTAAGTTATTTTAAATTGTCTCTCAAATTCCTTTAGCAAATTAGGTTCAGAGGAAGCATTAACTTGACTATTAACAATTGTCTAAACAACATAGTATATTGGGATGGAACATGCAAAATATGGATCAATATGAAGAAAATTTTACCCCTTTGATTTGATTTTCATATTGCTTCTTTTAGATTCCAACTTTAGCCAAACTTAGCTATAATCAAAGAATTTCTTTTTTTAAAATTCTTGCATATTGTTATATTGGCATAACAACATTACATCTCCAAAGACTGAAGGGATTTAAAATACAGGATCATAAATTGATTATACCATAACCATGTTAGAAAAGGTATTTCTAAAACTCAGAGACCCTGTTTTTCTTCAGCTACTGAATCAAAGGAGAAATAACACTTTAGGATTTTCTTACGTTTTCTGAAAGTCATTTCATTAAATGGAAATTACCAAAATAATCTTAAAATTCAAGTGTTTTTGCACATGAAACTATAACATGGCATTAGACAACCAATGAAATGGAAATCCAAACTGAAAAAGATGAAGGTCCACTCTGATGGACTGGTTAAGTGTTTTCCAAATGTTGTCTGTTCACATCCCATATCACAATGAGAAGGAGCAATTGTGCAATTTCCCATGTGGCTTTGACAGTGTCCTGAGCCATCTCAAAATGTGAGTTAAGATGATCTGTATATGTAAGCACACACTACAGCAGAGATTTAGATCTTGATGTGATGTCAAAAAATATATTACAGTTGATTTCTAATCATATTTTAATGTCAACCAAGGTTAAAAAGTTTATCCATAAATTTTCTGATTAATGCTGGGGGAAAAAGAAATGTGAAGAATAAAAAGGGAGGCAAAATGCTGGTTCAAGTGAACAATAATAAATCCCTTAGTGTACAAAAATTCAAGTATTTTTCTTTTTGTGGATCATAGCAGAACCAATATGTTCAAAGCTGGGCATCAGCACATATTTATAAATACTATCCAGATAAAGGGCATGTGAAAACTTGCAAAAAAATACCCTACATGATCACCTATCTACCAGCTACAAACAATGGAAAACCCAGGAACACCAGGTTCTGTCTCTTTCATTAAGCTCTCCAAGGTTTCATCAAGATTCCTGTTATGGGAAGGTGAACATGGACTTTTATCTCCCTGTCCATGAAACAGTCAATAATAAGCTAGGGTTCACTAACAGAAGGCTTCGGGTATCACAGTTCCCTCCTTGCTTCTCCCAAAATTATCCTGGAAGAAACTATTTTTAAATATGGCTTCTATTCTTAGATACAGCAAATACTCAAATGGATAATCAGCATGATTTGATTTCATTCTAATGAATTCAATATGAAAGATTACTACTGGAACATTATAGGTTTGGTATCATGATGTATTTAGTTTGTATTTTTAGGTTTAAGTAAAGCAAATTCATATTAGTTTTGAGCTGAATATTTCCTATTGCATGTTAGCAAAGTGTTTTACTTAATATTTTTCCCAAGGTACATTTTAAAAGACTTATGGTATAATTAAAATAAAAATCACTTAGCCTTTCTATTCATAAAAATGCCATTTGAAAAATCTACTGATCCACAAATTAAGGCTATCATGCTTTGCACTGCAATGAAATTAAGCAAAATCCTATACAGAGTAAACGGAAAGAGCATCAATAAACTTAAATGCCAAATTACATTGAAAGAAAAGGCCTTGAATTTTCATTTTGGTCTTTTCCCAGAAGCTTTTAGTAGACAAAAACGGGAAAAAAAATTGAGTAAGAGAAAGAAAGAACATTAAGAAACAAAGATAACAGAGTCTGCCTTAAATTCTGCAGGGAAATGAGAGTATGATATCCTGCTAAATTGGCACTGTTTCAAATTGTGTTTCTGCAAGGCTAATGAAATGAGAAGTGTTGTTTCAAGTTTCATACCATGTCAGACAATATAAAACTAAAATGTCCTTGAGTAAATCAGAATGGTCTATTCAGCGTAATCCACCAATCCAAAGGCTTCTTAGCAGGATGGAAAATGGTCTGCCCTTTGTAGAGCTTTTTTTCCCTTCTTAAAAGTAGAGACGATTGTAGAAGAAATAAGCGGCTCTAGTGAATATGTACTGAATGTATTTATTATTTTTAATCTACTTACAAAGCTTTGCATTTAAATGCTCAAATTCTTAAATGAAAATCACACAGTATGCTCTCATTTTTATTGTGAATAAAATTGACTGATGTGTATTACAAAGGTTATATTTTACACTTTTCATATTATGGAGATACAAATTATTTCCTGTTTGAGAAGTATAGTCTATTTTTGATAGATTTATGGAAGGGAGAAAAACCATATATATTTATGGTAGATACATAGCCCAGTCATTACTCAAGCTTATAATGATGTATCTGATTCTAATTCATTTCTCAGACTAATTTGAATAAACATGTCCTAAATACTTGTTAGGTAGGGGAACCACATATGAAAGGGCATTCTCAGCTTCCAACTCGGTTCAATATTAGGATCGCCATCAAATCACTTCTTGATTCAAGTGTTTAAGGTCTCAAAGGTAGTAAGTGAATTGCAGGGTCTATTGAGCTGATTTCAGCCTTGTCAATCAGCATTCCCAAAGGCGAAAACACTTACCAGGCATTCCGCAGTGATGTCATCACAGGACTCTGCATGACCAAAGCATTGACATGGTTCGCAGATGCCACCAAAGATTGTGCCGTTAACTCGTCTGTGCCGAGGCCAACAAGACTGGAAGAAAGATAGTGTTTCTATCAGTCAGTCTTAGGAAGTAAAAAATGAAAAAAAAAAGTGGTTTTTTTTCTTTGTTTGTTTCTGTTTTGGGATAAAAGAAGATAATTTAGCTAGAAAACTCATCAAATGTCATCGTCAGAGAGTTGACATTATTGCAACATTGCTACAGAGCTATTCCTGCTGACACTGGGGCTTTGTACTGACCTTAGCGTTACTGGCAGGCATGAGATTAGAGGAAGCATTAGCTTGGTTTCTCTTCTGAAATGGTAAAATAAAGCAAAGATATAAAGAATTGAAATATGACAGTCAAAGCCAAAAGAACAGATGGGACAATAGAAGGAAAAGTATGGGGGGAAAGCAGCAATTATAAAAGGACTCTTGAGAAAATCTTTGCCAAAGAGAGTACCCAACATCAGCCCCACGCTATTCTGATTCTCTGGTATGTGCTGCCTTTCCTAGGCACTAACTGCACTTAATGGGGCAGTGGTGATTCAATGATAGAACTCTTACCTTCGATGTGGGAGACCTGGGATCAATTCCCAATCAATGCACCTCATGTGCACTCACCACCCATCTATCAGTGGAGGTTTGCATGTTACTATGATGCTGAAGAAGAGCTTCTAGACTAAGACAGACTAGGAAAAAAGGCTTGGTGATCTTCTTCTGAAAAACAGCCAATGAAAACCCTACGGATCACAAAAGACCAATTCACAACTGATGCGCAACCAGTCATGAGGATAGTGCAGGACCAGCCTGCATTTCATGTCCTTGTGCATGAAGTCCCCATTAGTCTGGGGCCGACAGGACAGCAGCTAACAACAACCGCCTTAATTCTATTGTTGTCACAAAATCTTTGAACTCGTTTTGAAGAAAGGCAGCACTCTGATCTTACATTTGACCTTACAAATATAGCTGACATCTAAGTGTACATAATTCATATTTTTCATTGTAAATTTCCTCCATCCTATTATTGTTGTTGTGTTGTTAGGTACTATTAAGTCAGTTCCAGCTCATAGGGACACTATATATATACAACAGAACAAAACACTGCCCAGTCCTGCGCCACCCTCACAATCGTTGGTATCCTTGAGCCCATTGTTGCAGCCACTGAGTCAATTCATCTTGTTGAAGGTCTTCCCCTTTTTTGCTGGCCCTCGACATTACCAAGCATGATGTCCTTCTCCACGGACTGATCCCTCCTGATAACATGTCCAAAGTATGTGAAATAGTCTCACCATCCTTGCTTCGAAGAAGCATGCTGGTTGTACTTCTTCCAAGACATCCTATTACGCCTTCTCAAATTTCATGAAATAGTTTCATTTTATGGTATTATGCTACTATAATTTTGACCATATTCCTCATCCCCTATTTAAAATGTGAAACACTTTCTTCTATAAAAACGAAATTCTGATTAAAACAGGACAATTACCTGTGTGTCAGTGTCTGCTCTTAGTCCACTGTCACTCTTCATTAAGTTTTCCAAACTGAATGGGGATGCAAATTAAGTGCGAGTAGCTTATGATCCCTCTCCAGTTATAATCAGTTTTTTTGGTTATTTTCTATATTTCTGGATGGTTAAATACAACAAAATATATCACGAAAAGGCTTTTTTTTCCCAGTTGAAAATGGAAACAAGACAGAAACCACTGAAGTAATAAAGTATATAGAACTGTGTTGTGTATTGTTGAAAATGTTCCTCCTGCCTCAGGATATGAGGACTCTTAAATTGGAACATCAGTAACAAACACATAAAAAAGGGATGGGCTGATACTTCATATCTGAAAGGAAAGCAAAAGCAACTTTCCTCCTCATTTGGACTGTACAAAAAAGAAGGTGTCAATTGTCTCTTTCTAATAAATCCTTTCCATTAAAATTTTTGCCACCCTAGACTCATTATAGAAGTGATTTCTTTTTGCAGTATATATTTTTAAAAAACTGACAAAACTGCACACCCAGAAAGGGGTAGAAATCAAGGGCATAAAAAAATAGAGAAAGAAATGGACTTACTGTTGTCAGGACACATATTCATGGAGTTTTCCTTAAAACTATGATTTTCATACACTGCAAGTGAATTATTTATCCCATATCCTCTTTCCTCAAACTTTCCACCTCCTTATACATCTCAGTCAATGATATCATTTCATTTGTGGTCGGTGTCAGCTGCCATCAAGTTTGCTCCAAGTCGTGGTGACCCCATGTGTACAACAGAGTGAAATGGTGTCAGGGCCTGCACCAGCTTCACAATCACTGATATGTTTGAGTCCATTGTTGCAGCCACTGCATATTTTGAGTGCTTTCAAATCTAGGAGGCTCATCTTCTAGCACAACGTAAGACAGTATCCTGTTGTGATTCATAGGGGTTTTATTGGTAGATTGCCAGACCTTTCTTCCTGGCCTGTCTTAGTCTGGAAGCTTGGCTGAAACCTGTCCACCATGGACGACCCTGCTGATATTGAAATCCCGGTGGCATAGCTTCTGGCATCATAGCAACATGCAAGCCACCACGGTATGACACACTGACAGGTGGTGGTTCATCTTATCAGTCACAGAGAAAATGAAAGCTATCAGAAGGCAAGTTTCATCTTTCAACTACCAAGTCTACTAGCGTCTTCATATTCCAAGTATCTTTGTTGTATTTCCCTCTTAAACAATGTGTGTGTGTGAAGAGTTTTTTCTCCTTTCTAAGAAATATCATTAGACTTGTAATCCGAATTCCATTATCTGTTGTCTTCCCAGTATTTCCTCTACTGTTGCATCAGTAATAGCTGTATTTCTATTGGGTCATTACTATCAGCACTGTATCTATAACTATCTATCTATCTATATGATTTAGTATCTCCCATCAAAAATAAACTAAGTAGAAAAACAACAAAAAGACTCCCTAATTATCGCATAACTTTGCAGTTACCTGTTTTTCTTTTCAATAAAACTACTCTGAAGAGTCTCCTTTTCTTCCTCACTTCCTTTCACACTTCATTCCATTTTAATCTGTCTTGTGCCACCACCACTCTATTAAAACTGCTCTTGTCAGTGCCACCAGATGCCAGGCAGCCAAATCCAATAGACAGTTCTATTATTACATCTTGCCTGACCCCCCATCAACATTTAGGCCAGCGGATTCATAGGGTTTTCTTGGCTGTAATCTTTATGGAAGCAGATCACCAGGCCATTCTGCTGAACTGCCGCTCGATTGCATTTGAACCACCAATCTTTAGTAGTTGAGTGTAAACCATTTGTGTCACCAGAGACCTGTCTAGAATCTTAGTATTCTCAAAATGTATGCTCATCAAATACTTGTTAGCTAAATAAAAATATGAACCCCCCTATGAGGTGGTTAATATTATTTGCATCATAGAGAAAATGCAGATTTTGACTGAATCCCCCCCTTTTTTTAGTACCTCACTTTGCTTTCACTTTCCTACTTAAACCACCTCCTAAGTGAAATGAATTATGATGGTACTCGCTCAGTAGGTAAGAAAAATATTTAACTGTGGAAAGAGTTATAAGAAATTAAATACAAATGAGGAAAAAGATTTTGAATCAGTATTGTGGCCCCGAATGAAGTAAAAGAGAATGACTTTATAATGGAGTCATTTAATCTGTTTTTGACTAGATGTTCTAGCCACCTAGAATTAAGACATTAATCGTCATTAAAGTTTATTCAACTTTTAAGGGATCCCAGAATATTAGTGAAAACTAAACCAAAATGACTGACTCTATGTGCCAAGCTCAATAAAAAAAGCAAATGAAATCAGGAAAGATAGGATTGGAGAATGGTGGGTCTAGGGTAAGTAGTTTTGATAAAGAAAGGTAGGAATTATTACAATGGAAAAGGAATGAAGAAGTCAGAGAGAAACTCCAGAGTTCCAGAATTCATTGTTTCCTGATTTGATTAAGTTCTTTTACAGATTTCAAAGTAAATTTATTTATCAAACAATTATTGTATGACAGCCACAGGTTGGTTTCATTACCCCATCTCTGCTTTTTTGTTGCCATTCTTTTTCACATTTGTATGCCTCTCTTTGATTATCTCCTATCTAATTGTTACCATTACTTAGCATCCAATTTGAGATTTGTCCACTACAGCATGCTTTCCCTGACATTGCTCTCCACTGGAATAGCTCACTCCTTTGAATGATTATGGCACTTATGTTTGTACCACTTACTGGTCCCTTAATTATATAGTGCTGGTTCATTTAATGTTTCATAGGTATTTGTTCTGTCTCCCTCACCAGATTGTTAGCTCTTTAGGGACAGAGATTATGCTGTATATTTTTTGATACTTCCCTCAACATCTAGTGCAGAATTTATCAAAGATTCTCAATAAATATTTCTGAAGAAAGGAAGGAAGCAAAGATAAGCATAACTAATTAAATATTTCTAATATTCAGGCAGTTTTATATTCAATGGGCACTTGGAGCTGGTGTAAAAGATGATGAAGAGGACTAAGAATAACTAATGTGGGAATAAGTATTAAAGCAGGAGTACAATCAAGGTATTTATTATTTCAGTTGAAATAAGAACTTAAAGGTTCAAAGGGAGCTTTCTGGTTTAAAATCAAAACCACAAGGCTCTTAATAAAAGAATACACTTCATCAAATGTGGCACTACATGTAAAATCAAATCTGGCTTGGTATAAGTAGTTCATATCCCTGATTATTTTTTTCTTCTCTGCATGAATTTTGGAAAAGCAACCACAATGAATTACATTCAGTTTTCTTTCTAGATTGGTGAATCTGAAGCCAGTTAAAGAAAACACGTGTCACAAATATGACTCTAAGCCCTGCATATTCTCTCACAGCATGCATTATTTTAAAGTACAAGAGAACTGACAAAGCAATGCCTGGAGTATTTCTACAAATGGCATAATGTGGTAGTGTTCTGAAGTGGAACATCTTGGAACACTCAAATGATACCTTAAAGGCACCATTTTTGAAGAATTTAAGCTCATATTTATCTGCAAGCCATGCTCACTATCAGAGAAATGTTGTTTACATTTTTTGACCAGGTTTCAAGTAAAACCAATTTTTAAATCACCTAAAAGAAAATATACAGAAGTAAATACAAATTATTACCTTAAAATGACATGATGTGGTATTAAGAAACATTAATTATAAATCTATAATATTGAGATACCAACAAACAGCTTAATATCTAGATGCCAAACACAGACATTTATGGAAACATAAATTTTTCGGTTATATTAAGGCAAGAAATCTCAAAAAAATAATTTCAAGACATAATGTGGTAAACACTTTATTCAAAAGCTATGACTTTTTGGCAAACATTCAGGTTTCTTTTTTAGTGATATACTATCATTTGTGTAATCATTGATGGGAAAACTAAAGTCTTTTTAGAACAGAATATTGAAAACAAATGAATAAGGAAGACCTAAGAAGAACTGATGTCTTTGAGTTATGGTGTTGGCCAAGAATATTGAATATACTATGGACTGTCAGAAGAACAAACAAATCTATCTGTCTTGGAAGAAGTACAGCCAGGATGCTCCATAGAAGTGAGGATAGTGATACTTCATCTCGCTTACTTTGTACATATTAACAGGAGAGACCAGTCCCTGAAGAAGGACATCGTGCTTGGTAAAGTAGAGGATCAGTGAAAAAGAGGAAGACCTTCAGTGAGATAGACTGACACAGTGGCTGCAACAATGAGCTCAAACATAGCAACGATTGTAAGGATGGCGCAGGATTGGGCAGTGTTTTGTTCTGTTGTGCACAAGGTCCCTCTAAGTTGGAACCAACGCCATGGCACCTACCAACAACATAACAGCAACAACATATTGAAAACAACATTGAAGGTACTGAGAATGCACTCAGGCTATATTCTTGCAAACTTACTTCACAAGAGGAGCCACTATACCCTGACGGACACTGACAAACTTCCACAGCTGCTGCAATGCTTCCGTCAGTAGGATAGGGAACAGCAGACTCAAGGGTAACAGCAGTCAACCTGGGACAGAGGGGAAAAAGAGATGGTAAAATGCAAACAAGCTCTTAGGTATCACATAACTATATAGTAACAATGCTATAAATGCAAGCAAAATATCTATGTATAAAAAGTAGACTAATGAATGAGTGGCGCTCTGGTCACTCATTACGTTAGGTAAGTCTGCTCAGTTAAAAGTGCTCACAACCACCACCACCAGCACGTGCTGAAAAGATCTGAAATGTTCTTGCTCAACACTTGGTTCTGGTCTATGCTTTTGACTTCCATTTTTGAAGATAGACAGGCATATATTTGAAGGGATTTTTATAACAGAAAATAGCTCCATGCCTGCTTGATTTATTTTAACATTCAGACTAGAAAAGCAGGAAATAGTATTCCACCTGAACGTTTAAATTCAAAGAAAAATGGAAGCTATTTTTGTTTCTTTGTCTCAGAGATAAACCTGCATGCAGGCAGGTATAAGTGAAACTTTCTCAGATAATCAGTTGAATTACAGAGAACTATTTCTCTTACTTTTTTTTGCCTAAATTAAATTCACTGTACTCTGTATCTCTGGGTTTCATTTTATTGGTATGTCTGTAAAATCTGGTGACTTTAGCAGAATGATTTCACATAACTCAATATTTTAGAAAACTCTGGTTCGGCCAAATTGAAAATTGGAGAAAAATGCTGTTACATAAGTTGGATATATGTATGTGTGTGTGTGTGTGTGTGTGTGTGTGTGTGTGTATGTGTGTGCACAGGATCTGATCTTTTATTTTTATACATACATTTTAATAGTCTAGAAAAAAGTTTGTTTGGCCAAATGGGAAATTGGAAAAAAATGCTACTACATATATTGGATATATGCATATGTATGTATGTGTGTGTGTGTGTGTGTGTGTGTGTGTGTGTGTGTACACACATGGGCTGTAACTGATCCTTTCTTTTTAATACATATCTTTGCTCTCAAAAAACTCTGCAAACTCAATATGCATTCACTAGTTAAATAAATGCTATAAAATCTCACTGACTTTATCTAATTTTTTTTTAAAGAAAATTTTAATAGCTTCATTAAGAACACAGATTTAGGAGTCAGACAGAGTAGGATTCATATCTTGCTTCTGATACTTAACTAGTCTTATAACCTAGGAAAAATTATTTAATCTCATTTACATCACACATCTTGAGTCTCTATCACAGAGATAATATTATAATTCATTCATCATAAGCTTGATTAAAGGATTAAAGGAACTAATGAATGTAAAATTCTTGATATAATGCATAATACACCCAAAAAACAAACAAACAAAAATACATAGTAGGTAATTATTAAGTAGATATTTTATTAACGTATTTTCACTGACTGTTGAAAAAGGATAAAAATGATGAGTAGTAGAAGAATTACTATTTGTCTTTCAAAAACCTAGCTTTTTATCATTTTAATGTATTAAAATAAATTTTAAATAAACTCTAAGCACAAAATGAAATGACTGTTACTGACTTATAACAATAATTAATTTTTTACTGATTGCTCAACCCTCATAACTCACAATATGACATCCTTTAACTGTGAGAAAGATGCAACTGACGTTTCCTAGGGTATACATTCTGAGTTGCTTTCTCAAGAGTGGCGCTAGACTTTTATTGATTAGTGATTCCCATTTACCAAGTTACTTGCCAGATTTGGGACTCTATGCTGCAGTCAATCTGGAGGACACATCTAATAAGCTCAGAATGAGGTTAAAATGTATCTTGAATAGTGACAACCTTTAATCAAGTTGTAAGCATTTCAGTAACAAGTTTCTAAAATCTTTATTGCTTTCACCCTCACATTACTAACCTAGACACTTGATAATATCTTACTAGTCCACTGCTAACCCTAGACTTCTTGATCATACAAGATCAAGAAGAAGCAGAAAAGGAAAGTTAGCTTAAAATCTCAGAAAATAGGCAGTTGGGTAGAATTGTTGTTGTAGGTGCTCTAAAGACAAGTGGATTACCTTTAGCTATAGGTTAACTCAACTGCACTTTCTTGAATGTATTTTTCTCTGGGGCACAGCTTGTACCACCTGGCAGGATGTCCTAGACTGGTAGGTATTAAAAAAATCACTGTTTTATAGGGTTAAGGGTATATGTAGCCTTTGAAAATCTCTAACTAACTCTTTCTTCACTCCTCCTCCATCACCACCAGTTAAACTTGTACATGAAGAGTTGCATTGTCACTGGCAATTCTTCTTAATGCAACATAGGGTTTCAAAGAGTTAGTAAACTAAGGATAGCACTTGCTTATGCTGACCTGAGCTTATGAGCCACTGCTTGAGAATAGAGACTCTGTCATGTCATCTATGGACCTAGCATAAATGCCTCAATAAATATTTAATGCACTTTCCTTGAATAGATGGATGGACAGATGGATGGATGGATGGATGGATGGATGGATGGATGGATATAAGACTAAATAAATGAGTGAATGAACGAAGGAATAAATAGATGAAAGGAATGTAGTTATACTATAAACAATGGCTAACATACTCCATGACAAATGAAACACTAAAGCCTAGCATCCACATTTCAGATGAATAAAATCAGACAGATATAAGACAAATTTCTCGTTTGATTGGACAAAGAAAATAAATTAAGAAATGTTACAAAGTTAGGACTCAAGGACAGAGGTTAGAGTTCACCCGAATGTATTGTGACATCTAACTACCTGAATTAATGGACTGCCACATGATGAGCCTATATTTCTGATCATTTTAATTGCAGAATTAGATGCTTTCATGGTTGATGTACGAGTTGATTATAATGTAACACACTGTCACAAATTACTAAACAGCAGACTTGTCAACTGAATATAGATACAATTCCAGCATTTTCAGTATTACCTGATAAGCAAAACTTTAAGAAAGACTATTTGAATGTTTCAAAATAAAATAGAAGAATCAGCAATTAAATAGGGAATGATTTAAAAAATAAAGATCCCAAAACAAAAAAATTTCAGCAAATTGCCAAATTTCATTTGTCTTTTGAACAACGGATGTTCCTCTCCCTAATCTGTATAACCATTTTGAGCTTTGAGAAATTTCAATACTTAAGCATCTTTCCTAGTAATATTCTACGTTAGTATTCACTGGGCAAGCCCAGTGTTCATTAGGTTTTGCTATTTGTTAAATGGGATTTTAATGCGTTTAACAGTTTAAGTGTTACTCATGAAAAGGCAGTGGGTCCCCGCCCCCCAATATGGTCATTTTCCTTTCTTGATACCAGCCTGCATTCATTTAAATACATAATGCTGGCAGTAATAAAGTACTGAATTTTGGAGACACATGAGCTATCAAAGATTTGTCAACTAAGTCAAATGTTTTAGCTATTTCTCACTATTATTATGACTTGAAAATACAGACAAAATGATCCACGAAGAGGAAAAGAGAAAGTTATATATTAGCTACTATGGCAAATATTACAATCCTATCAGGAAACCCTGCTGGCACAGTGGTTAAGAGCTATGGCTCTTAGTAAATCAAAAGGTCGGCATTTCGAATCCACCAGGTGCTCCTTGGAAACCCTATGCGGCAGTTCTACTCTGTCCTATAGAGTCGCTATGAGTCGGAATCGACTTGATGGCAACGGGATCAGAAACATTGTCCTGCTCTTGACTTCAAGATTGTTAGTTTTACTATACTTTCCACCAGAGTTACATAGGCTGTACTACACTAAAAACAAAGATATCATACTGTGAATCAACAAAGATATTTTAATACTTTAATCTTAATACTCTTTTAAATAATTAGTTTCTTCTATCCTTCTTTTACATTGAAGATCTCTCTTTCTTTCCACTTAAAAGAATGTTGGGAGTAGCCACCATAGAAACATATTTTATTGCTGTTAAGTGGTTTTGTTTTGTTTTCAAAACATAAGAGGAGCCTGATAATTATTACTCCATTTCTAAAAAGGCAACAGAATAATTGAGTGGCAGGTCAGTGTCTGAGTGGGTCATCTGGGAAAGAGCCAAACATTTTCTCTAAGCATTTTCAATCCCACAATAAGTAAGGAAAATGATAAATTATGATACTGTTGCTGCTATTCATCAAAAATATATTAAACATTAATATAAGAGTTCATCTCTTCCTCCTTATTTTTACCAATGTACATTGTGCACACTTGTACTATTTACTATACTATCACAGATGTGCATGGCTGGCTTTCCTTCTGGACTATGATCTCCTTGAATTCGATGATCATGTACCCATCTCTGTATCCTTGTTGCTTAGCTTAAGACTATCAAATCATAATAATTACTGCTTACTGTCTGCTATCTTCTGTGCACTATAATGGGGACTTGACAAACATCATACCTCATTTAAGTATCAATGAGCCTAATACAGTAATCTTTTATACCCATGTTTACAAATGAAGAAACTGAAGCTCACAGTAGCAAAGGCTCCTGTCTAAGATATCACAGTTATCAATTGATCACAAATTTAAACCCAAGCGTGACTCCAAACCAGTAATCATCTTGCTACCTACATTACCTCCCAATATGTGTTAGATAATACATAAGGTATTTTATGTGAATTATTTTCTTATTTAACCTTCATTTTAATCTTGAAATTTAGATATTGTTTCTGCCATTGTATAGAAGAGTAAACTGAGACTTAAAAAGATATTCATGGAAGATACTCGGTATATGTTTGCTGACTGAATAAATTCAATACTTACACAACAGCATTGGGAGGTAGTTTAAGATAATGATGAGGAAACACATTTGGGTTAAAATGGTGGCTGCACCTCTTACCAACAGTCTGATGCCAACCCCGTTGTATAAATCTTTCTAAGCCATTATCTTTAAAAAATCTTCAGCTTCCCTATCACTATAATTTCTTAAAAATGTGGTTAACTATATCATTAATTTCAAAAGGTAGATGCCTACTCTGCACCTAGCAACATGACTTCTATAGTTATTAAGAGACTACGCTGTTAAGAAGAGTTTTTCTAGATAATTTATGAAATAAACTCCGTGTAATCTTTTTGGTATGAAAAATCCAAATTTACTCTAAAAGTCATATGAACACTTCATGTCTTGAAAATATTCTGTGTTTATATTCAAGCAATAAAGACACATGGGTTTGTATTAGGGTAAAGAGGCAAAAGTCAGGATGGGCTTGTTTCTGCTATGGTAACAAACAACTCCAAATTCTCAGTGGCTAAACAAGCCCTGGTGGCACAGTGAGTGGTTAAAAGCTTGGCTGCTAACCAAAAAGTAGCTTGAATCCGCCAGATGCTTCTTGGAAACCCTATAGGGCAGTTCTACTCTGTTCTATAGGGTTGCTATGAGTTGGAACTGACTCAACAACAATGGTTTTTTTTTTTTTTTTTTGCTTTTAAACTAAACAAAACAACACTCAAATCAATATCTCATACATTTGTCCTCATTTCCTTAAATTTTTATCTGTGAGTTGAAAAATAATAATTATTTCAACAACAAAAAATGAGTGGCTTAGTATTAGTAGCAACATAAAGTTTGATTAATTCAACTTAAAAATACCAAAAGCATATATTTCCTCAGAATGGCAATCACTTACGTTAAAGCTCATAGTTAAAAGATAAAAATGTATACTTGTCAACGAAGAAAAAAGAAATCACATTACAAATAATTTATAATAAAGAAAATTTTTCAAATATTTTATCAAAGACATTTGACAAAGCAAATGAAAAGCATTTATAACACACCAAAGTTCTTTGCCTTGTGTATTGTATGGTTAAAAAAATCAAAAAATATGAAAAATTAATTTTTAGGTGTGATAATGGTTACATTTGCAAAAGCACTCCCTATATTTTAGAATTACAAACTGAAATATTTACAAAAAAACAAAAACCAAACCCATTGCCATTGAGTCGATTCTAACTCATAGCGACACTATAGGACAGAGGAGAACTGCCCCATAAGGTTTCCAAGGAGCACTTGGTGGATTTGAACTGCTGACCTTTTGGTTAGCAGTCAAATTCTTAACCACTCCACCACCAGGGTTTCTGAAATATTGACAGATGAATTAAATGAAATCTGGGATATGCTTCAAGGCAATTTGGAAGGGGGTGGAAAATAAGTGAGAACATATATGAAATTGGATTATTCCTGAGTTGATAACTGTTGAAGGTGGGTGATGGGTACTTGGGGGTTCATTATGTTATTTTTTTCTACTTTTGCTTATGTTGAATATTTTCTATAATAAAATATTTTTACAATTAATAATAATAATAAAAACTAAAACTAAAGTTTATCATGTAAAATCTCCTCCAGGTCTGGGTGACTGCCCAGGGCAGCTGAGCTCCACGTGTTGCCAGCATTCAGAATGCTTTGATCCTCAGGTAGTTTAACGAGTCCCAGAGTGTGTCGCACTGGCAATTCAGTGCTTTTCTCCAGAAAAATCACACACCACTTCTGCTTACATTATATTGGCCAAAACAAGTCACATGACCGCATTTGCCCTCAAATGTTAGGGAAATGCAGTATCATGAACGGAAGAAAAATTTGGTGAACTGTACTAATGTCTACTAAAAGGTACAAGAAAAAACATATTGTGCAGAGTTCTATATCTAACAGATGTTGACGAAAAGCTGAATAGTCTCCTTGCTCGAATTAAAGATCAATGATGTTACTAAATCTAAGGGTTAGAAAATTTAGAGGATAATGATGTGCATTGAGGTTAAGTTGATTTCTCCTACATTCTTAAAAAGAGAATAAAAAGTTTTCTATTTTTATCTTCATCTGACCAATATGGACAGTGAGAAAGAAATCAATTAATTTTACTGTATTGGCTCACAGCATTCTGAGAAAGAATGGTAGCAAAAACGTCACAGTTGTGGACTCATCAGCATGTACCCTCTTCTAGATTTCTCCAAGTCTTAACGGTACTTGAAGAACATGTTATTCTTTGGAATGATACAAGTTGGATAGAAATGCTTCATATTTGTATGGTGATTTGTCATTAGCAAAGTGCTTTTGCAGACTCCTAATTCCAATTTACAGTGAGCTTTTGAGGTTGGCAGAGCAGTTGGCCTCATCTTTATTTTACAGATGAAATGACAAGTCCAAGAGGTCAAAGCCATACTTATGTTTACAACTATTAAATAACTGAGTTGAAAACAGAGGTCAGAATTCTTAACCTGCAATCCAGTACTCACTGCACTATACAATTCCATCAAATCATATAACAGGAGGCTCTAAAACTCATTTGCTGAGGCAACTGCCGTGGAAGTAAACCTTCCTTAATAAATCTAAGCATGAATTTTTTGTTGAAATAGCTTCAATTTACTTGTGCTTGCACATAGACTGTATATCAAGTTAGAAGCCTACTGTGCAAGACAAGTTGAAATCAACTGATGTTTTACAAATATGACTCAATCTACCAGTCGATCACAGATAAATAAAATATAACAAGCTTACTGACTCAGGATTCATGCTGACTTTCACCTCACCCGAAGTGGGTAGGAGTTTCAAATCTTGACATTGGCTTTTACTTCTTGAACCACAGTTCTTTAGGTAATGCAGGCAGCAAAAAGCAGGCACCTACCTGGATGAGCTCTTGTCTGTTCACATAACTACCCTCTGTGAACATGTGGCTCATGTAATGGGGAAGCTTCCGAAGACTTCAAATGAAATCAATGATTTTAAGATGGATATACACTGAAATTGCATGACATAAATCAGGAGGAAAAGCCTTTGGATTAACCAGTCTGAGAAGCAATGCTGCCAAAAATAAATAAACCCCCTAGCCATTTTTTGTCATTGGTTGTCATTCATTTTGAAAGCTAGAGGACTCATCTCCTTAGCACTGTTTAAACATCATGACAATCTCTATTTACTAAATGGGAAAAAAACATAATTAAATCATAAGTGCTGCTTCTCATCTTCTTGGCATTTTAACCCAGCTTCTATCAGAATTGCCTATGCAAAAGAGGTACACTGTTTGGCAATGGTCCTGTTTATGAATCTGCCGTTCCCACCTTTGGGAGGTGATAATGATGATTACATTTATTTGAACTATTAGAAGCGAAAGACGAACTAAGCAGCTCAGGCAAATCACAGGGGGCAGGGATCAGCAATAAAAAATCCTCCTGCAGGTGAACCAATACTTGGAGATAGTGCTTTGATTATGAGAAAGTCAAGTTGTAAGTTTGGGGTCATATTTGAGTATCTAACTCAATATGATTTAGAATGAAGATGCCATGATATTTTTATTGTTTTTATTTATTATTAGAGTAGAAAAGGAGAAGGGAAAAGAGCTCATTCAGATGCAGTTAAAGTAAAAATGTTGTCAGAAAAAAAATGACATTGTTTTAAAAATGGAAAGCACAGCAGCCTACAGTCAGTCAGGTATGGGCATATTTGGTTCCAGAAGTTCTCTCTTTAAAGGAAAACAAAAAGGAACTAATTTACAAAAGTGTTCTAGGTAATGAACACTTTATATAATTATCACATGTAATTTTCACAATGACCCTGAAAGATAGGCATTATTATTTCCACTTTACATGTGAAGAAATCAAGGCTCCACAAGGACTAATCACTGGCTGAAGGTCACACATATAATAAGCAACAAACTTGAAATTCATCTCAGGTCTGGCTCAAAGCTCACACACTTTCCTCTACACCATGTTGGCCAGTGTAGTCTCAGAGTGTTTTATAAAGATATTTGTGGTTATTTGAAGATTATGTCTTATTACAAACTATATATTATTAAGTCAAAAACTAGTAAATTAATTAATGGAAAAAATATTTTACAAACCACTTCCCAAATATGGGTACCCTGGAATCATATCTCTTTAGTTTTCCACTATATGAGCCATAAAGGGGACTTTATTTGCCAATATAGCATTTCTCAACATGTTGTGGTTAGGTGCCATTGAGTCAATTCTGACTCATAGTGACCCCACGTGACAGAGTAGAACTGCCCATAGGGTTTTCCTGGCTGTAATCCTTACGGAAGCAGATTGCCAGGTCTTTCTACCACAGAGCCACTGGGTGGGTTCAAACTGCCAACCTTTCAGTTAGCATTTGAGCACATAACAGTGTCACCAAGGCTCAGCTAAAAAAAAAACAAAACCATTGCTGTTGAGTCGATTCCAACTCATAGCCACCCTATAGGACAGAGTAGAACTGCCCCATAGGGTTTCCAAGGAGCAGCTAGTGGATTTGAACTGCTGACCTTTTGGTTAGCAGCCGTAGCTCTTAATCACTACACCACGAGACTTGGCATAGGTATCAATATTTGTCACATGTTCTGGCAGAACTGCAAAGGAATCATCAATATGATCAGAAGGCCAACACAAATTTATTCTGGGTATTTAAAACTTTAAAGCTTTAATAGGAACATCTTTCAGGAAATGAGTGCTGCACTTTCATCTGCTATTTGAAGATAATAACACTAGAGAGCTTCAAATTCACCCTCCCAACACATGCTTGGTTGCCCCATGGTAAAGGTGTGGACACTGGGAGATGCAGTTCTCGATTCTACCTGAAGATGGCATCCATCCCAAGGCTGTACGTGGTTTGTATGAGGAGTCTCTTTAAATTCGCAAGCACTGTCATAAATTCTTTTCTACTGACTGGAACATTTGTGCCATGTATGGTAAATAATTCTTCTTTAAGTGACAGAACATTAATATGCTCTTCAGATGGTAGCAGGTACACCTCATCTTGGGCTGTGCTGATTCGTAAGCCATTTCCCTAAAGAGTGAAAAGAAAACATAAAGGAGTAAAACTGTGAACAGAGGGTACAAAAGGATAAAAACATTAATACCTTATACAGCAACTTTTCAGTATCTGTATTCATAGTTGCAGTAGGCTTTTAATTTCAGGCTGACTTCCTCTGTCATACAGCATATTTCTAGTATATATGAAGGGAACCCTGGTAGTACAGTGGTTAAAGCAGCTTGGTTGCTAACCAAAAGGTCAGCAGTTCAAACTCACCAGCTGCTCTGCAGGAGAAAGATGTGGCAGTCTACTTCATAAAGACTACAGCCTTGGAAACCCTATGTGGCAGTTCTACTCTGTCCTATAGGGTTGCTATGAGTCAGAATTGACTCAACGGCAGTGGGTTTAGAGCCCTGGTGGTGCAGTGGTTAAGAGCTCAACTGCTAACCAAAGGGTCAGCAGTTCAAATCCACCAGCCACTCCTTGGATGCCCTATGGGGCAGTTCTACTCTGTCCTGTAGGGTCACTGTGAGTTGGAATCAACTCGACAGCAGTGGGCTGTTTGTTTGTTTTATGAAGGGAAGGCAATGCAATTTATATATCAGCCTTAACCAAATGCATTACAAATTATAAGCTTTTTGGTAATGCATGTCCTTGCTTCCTCGGTTAGTACATAATCAGCTGCTGATAAACGTATATGTGATTACAAACACCTTGTTACACAAGTAGTCAAAAGTTGTATATTTCAAATCTATTTGTGGGTTGCACAGAACAATAAGAAAGAAAACTTAGAAGAGTGTATTCAGCTATTGTTTTAAAGAATTTTTCTATAAGATTGCAATACAAAAACAAACTAACAAAAAAATAAACAATAAAAAGCCTGTAGTCTAACATTTACAAGAGGATAACAGCATCATAATAAGGAGCGTATCAACTGATCTATCATATTTGGGTTATCCCTCTTAATTCATTCATATTAATAATACAGACAGTCCCCAGATTACAAATGAGTTCCATTCCTAAATCTGTCTTGAAGTTGAATTTGTACATAAGTCAGACCAATTAGGTACGGTTCATACTTAATATCAGTTAGTCAAACGCTTCTCTTAGTATACAGTATATAGCTTACCTTTCTTTGTATAAAAGACATTAAAGAAACACTTCCAGATACACTAAAACATCTTTAACATAATAATACAGTAATAATAATGTTTTGATGCATGTCACAAAGTAACAACCATTTGTAATTATGAACCACTGTAGGTACCTCAAATTTTTAATATAATAGGCTTTATGGGGGTAGGTTCATAACTACAGGTTGCATGTAAGTTGGACGTTCGTAACTCAGGGACCGCCTCTATATAAGTTCTCAATATTTTACATTTAGAGAATTCTTTTCACTTCAAAAGAATCTAGTTATAATTCTAATTGCAAATTATTTATTTATTTTATATATGAAATCCAGACCACTTCATCCAGTACTGGAAATATTCATTTTAGAAAAAGAATTTGGTTACTGATTTTGGGATAAAGGTCCTAGTTTTACCCCTAGCAAGGCAGCTTTTGTCTTGGCTCCAGAGAAATAACCATTGGAGTAGTTAGGGTGCCTTGGTCTGGACTTCCAGCCACATCTAAGAATTTGGCTGGTGAGTGAGAGTTGACCAGACTAGAAAAGACTCACCTGGGAGGCCAATATTAACTAGCCTCAGGAGGCATAATTTAACTCATTTTGCAGGACTGGTCAGTAAAAACCTGGGAACATGGAGGTTCAGGGAGCTTCCTGATTGATGAGAACATTTGCTCTTGGAAGGGCATTATGTCCCTTGGAAAATGAAAGCCTCATGTTGGGAGCCCTCCCAGACTTCACCTGATGCACTTCTTCACTTGTATTCTTTTCAGTTATAATAACTCTGTAACAATAAGTATGGTATTCTCTCTGTGAATTCTGAGAGTCATTCCAGTGAATTATAGAACCCAAAGAGGCAGTAGCAACCAACAGGTCAGAAAAATAAGGGTACAGTGTGGATTCTCAAGGTTGTGGCTGGCATCCTGAAAGGGTAGTGGGAAACCAGCCCCAGATGTGTGGCCAGCAGGTCAGAAGGTTGAGGTGTTTTGTGGACTTCCCAAGCTTGTGGTTGGTGTCTACCTATTTGGCAGTCTGAAGAAGCATCCTTTTAATTTGTGATCTCTGACCTAGTTCTGGGTGTAAGTGTCAGAGAGAGAGTGAGTGCCAGAAGGGCTGTTGGTGATAAGAATGGAGAAGTAGGAATATGAGAGTTGGATCTATCTCCATATTAGGGGGACTGGATTCCTGCTGATTATTATCACACACTGATTCACATGCACAAAGGTTGAAGACAAAGAGATCCTGGTGTCAAATCAGCACCTAAGCATTTGTAATCATAAATATGCATGTGTGTGTAAGCCTATGAGTGTGTGTGTGGGGATGTGTGGCATGCATCATTAGACAGGAAGGTTACATGAAAGAGTTGGAAAGGTCCTGTGAGACAACTTTAGGTTTCCAGCATTTGGAATTTCCTATGGCCTTACAGATTCTGAGAGCAGTTTCTCTTTTATCTTTCTTAAACTAAATTTTTTACCTAGGATTTTAAAATCAAGATTTAACTATGCCTAAAAACATACGTTTTCTTTTTCATTTACTTCTGCCCAATTTAAACAAGGAAATATACAATAAAATCTACTTGGAGTAAAGGGAGATGGAAAAATATAATTATGTAAATCAGAACTTGCCCAGACAATTTTACCAAACTTACATTCTTGGAAACTTGACCATTATGTTTTAAATTAAACTCCAAGTCTTGCCTAATAGTGTCCCTTATCATTGGAACCCAATGAATATGCCTAGTCTTCTAGATATGTCTCGGAGTGAAATATAAGATTGGCATAAATAATAGAACATTCCTAAAGTATGATATTTTTCTTTAGTAGTATGTAAATCAGTATCAAATCAACCAGGTAAAAGATAACATAAGTGACCTCAAATAACATAAAGGTATACAATAGCCAACACAAATGACATTCTCCATACTGTACCTCCAAGATAATCATAAGCTGGAGTGTGCGTTCTGTATCTTCTTCCTCTTCTTCTAGGTCGTACGATATGGTAAATGTCAATTGTCCTCCAACTGCTGTGAGCTAGAAGAGAGAAGATGCATAGTTATTAGAGGATAGAAGACGGTATTTCAACTGGATTTTACTTATTATTCTAAAATAAGTTTATTGTTCCAGAGGATGGCATTTGGAAGAAACAGAAATAACTAGAGTACAGAGTTGAAATGATAGACATTTCTTTAGGAGTAACCTTTTTATGAACCTTACCCATCAGCTGTAAGCCTGACACAAATATAAATTCATGTATTATTTCCCCCAGTACTGCAGACTTGCTGAAATAAGTTAAGCTCCTGGAAACGAAACACGGCCTCTCCTGTCATTTCCCTAGTCTACAGTTTGAGTTTTACAAACAGAGTAGGATCTTTGTCAAAATTGGGAGATTTCTACCCATCCCTGAGGGTCACTGATTTTCTGTGGACCTGCATGCTTTCAAAAAAGACATCACTCCATTTGACAGGCACTTTACATAGACCATAAGGTACGTGGGGACATATTGTCAGTTAAATAAAAATAAAAAGGTAGCAGTAACTTTTATATTCTGATAAAATTTAATCAAAACTGCCAAAGAAGGTATACTTCCTTCCCCTGTACACTCAAACAAACTTAGTTTGAATGAATGTTGTTATCTCCTTTTCAGTAAGCAAATATTTTCCTTCTAAAATGCATGCCAAACATCATGCAATGTATGCTTGAGGTATACATACTTTGTCATTGACACTAATCTTGAAGAAAAATAAATTGGAAAACAAGATCATTTATAGGACAGGAATCAAAATTAGGGCTGTGAGTGACAGATTCAATGCAAACGGTGCTGTCCTTTTTTTTTTTTTTAATTCCACTCCAACACTATAAATAAAGACATTCATAAAACAAAGATGATGGTTTGTATTCTGTTTCCTGCATGCTGACATGCAGAGACCCAGCTTCACATCAGTTGGCTCTCTTTGTCCTTTCACGGCAGACCCTGACCAGAAAGCAATTCCTGGCAATGCACTGGATGGATGAAGAGGAACCCTAATTCCTCTCAGAGTTGTTCCGTGGGGAATGGCACCCAGTCTACTGTGGCTTATTAAACAGGATTTTTAAATTGCAGCTCTGCAATGCCTTCTAAGAGCTCATTACATGGATCTCTATAAGGAACTAAAACTCAGAAAACTTTTATTCCCCTGCTCCACTGAGAAATGGCCCTACTCTAATGTCTTTTTATATATAAAATAATAAATATCAGCCTGGACTATAGCATTTGGCATTATTGTGAGTAATGAGGGGTGAACCTATGTAAAAGGTTTTTGGTTCTATTAAGATAAGCATCCAAAATTTCACGTAGCATGCTTGTTCAAATCAGCTATATGTTTTTTCAGTAAGACAAGTCTTGAAAGTTCAGAGAGAATGTTTTACATATCTTAAAGGGGACTGAACTATTTAGAATTTTCTAAATTAATAAAAATGTTTAGGGAGAAGTAGGGACTGAGTTAGAGAAGGACATTGAGAATAGGTCTGTAGCATTCCAAAAATTTTGCATTGCCAAAGATATTTTGGCTATTTAAAATGTGGATGACATGTTATTTTTCTGGAATTATATTTCCAATAAAAGAAAGGAAAACATCGACTTCAATTAATTCTTAATTTCTTAAATTAATTTTAAAAATCACTATGTCATTGTTGCTGTGTTGTGCGTCATCCAGTGGATTCTGACTCATAGAACTGCCCTAGGCTATAATCTTTACAGGAGCAGATCAGCGGATCTTTCTTCCCTCAGAGCCGCTGGTGTATTAAAACCACCAACCTTTAGTTAGCATTCCAGCTGTTAACCATTGCACCACCCGACCCATTGTCCTCGAGTTGATTCCAACTCTTAATGACCCCATAGGGTTTCTGAGGCTGTACATCTCTGTGGAAGTGGACAGCCACATCTTTCTCCTGTGGAGCTGCTGGTGGTTTCAAACCGCTGACCTTTCGGTTAGCAGTCAATCGCTTTAACCACTCTGCCACCAGGGCTCCTTAAAAAAATTACCACATGTACCTAAATATAAGGAAATTTGAATTAAAGGTGCTATCCCAGTTTACCAATAAAAAGAATAAAAGTATGTATAATTTAAATATTTAAACTTTTAAGACTATAAATGAAATAAAAAAATGTTCACTTCTAAAATTTGTTTTGGTAATGTATTAACCAAATACATGCCTGTTTATAATAGGTATAAAAGCACACAGCATATAAAGTAATATTATATGGAAAAGGAAAGAGAGGTAGAAATTGGGGAAAAATGAACAAATATATAGAGAGAACAAGAGTCTTATGTGGGTCAATGATAATTTAAAAAAAAAAACAAAACAAAAAACATGAACAAGGGAGTAGAATTAATTCAACCCAGTCTCCTGAGAGCTAATAATACTGATGATGATGAATTACTTTTTTTACTCCCACATTTCATGAAAAAGATTTTTTCCAACTCTTTCATAAATATTTGACATTCATTCTTTGGCATCATTGGAACCATCATTTGATTGCTTTATTTACCTGAGTAAATCAATTTTACGCCCAACCAAGTTATGTAAAAAAAAGGACCATTTTAAAAATATGTATGATTTTGTTGGAGCCTTGGTGGCACAATGGTCAAGAACTTGGCTGCTAACCAAAAGGTTGGCAGTTTGAATCCACAAGCCGCTCCTTGGAGGCAGATCTACTCTGTCCTATTTTTAAAATGTGCATGATTCTGTTATCTGATCTTTCATTCCCAAATCACAATTATCCATGTATATAATATTAGGATTATAGTCTTTTGCATTCGTCCTAAAGGTGTATATTTATGAGCAGCTCTACATAACTACTTAGTTACTTAAGTGATTTCTAAAAACAGTTGCTTAAGATATTCTGCAATTTAGAGGTCCCTAGGAATAATTACTTATTCTGTTTAATTCCTTTGCTTCATTTTTCCTTCAACTCCATAAAGTAATCTCTTTATAATCAATAAAATCAAGCATTCCATGATACTTTCAGCTAACATTTCTTCCCCAAAGAGAACATCCTATAATATGAAAGACTTTGTAACAAGTTGATTATAAAACAACACCTTTTTTCTGAGGGATATTAAGTTTTTTGGGGTAGAAGTGTTTGATTATATTCAGGGTATAAATTTTCCCATCCTGTAGCTTTAGGTGAAGAACTATCTGCCTTTCTTCCATCTAACTACTCCTCCATATTCCAGACACCATCTTTACTTGACTCCTCGATATCCTTGTTTCCCCACTGTCCCATATCTCCTTCCATGTCCCAATCTTTCCTCTCTCCATCAAACCAAATGTGCACAGGGATGTCAATTATCAATTGACTTTACTGTCTCCTCTAGCTATTATTTATGATTAGTTATTCATCTCACTGTCAAATTTTGAGACATGAGTATTATGTTTTATTTCTGTCTAGTCACCTTTTCCTATTTTATCTCCTGCAGCCTGTCTTTCACCTTTCTCACTCCATTAAAAAGTGTTTCTAGAAAGGTCATTTATAAGCCCTATCTAGCAACCACTAATGACCCTTTTGTTTAGTTTTATTCTTAATCGTTACGTGACATATGATACTACTTACAACTCTTGTCTCGTCTCCCTTGTCTTCTATTACACTGAAATTTCCTGATACTACTCCTCCTGTCGTGGTCATATAGACGTGACCACGTCTTGTTTATATATATACAAAGCCCTGGTGGGGCAGTGGTTTAAGCATTTGACTGCTAACCAAAAGACTGGCAGTTCAAATCTACCAGCCGCTCCTTTGAAACCCTATGGGGCAGTTCTACTCTGTCCTATAGGGTCACTATGAGTCAGAATAGATATATATAATACATATATATTTTTCTGCCTTTCTATGCTCAGTGTTTGGATGTCTCTAAGGCTCTGTTCTCAGTCTTTTTTTAGTACCCATTCATATTGACTTTTTTAGAAAACTCATTGCTCTCTCATGGATTCAACTACATTTACAATTGGTTCTTCAATCTGCATCTTCAGTCCTATCCTCTGTCCCCTAGTGAGTATTTGTGTAATAATGTCTCCAACACTCAACACGCCCAAAATTAACTTCATTATCTGGAACTTCCCAGATCCCAAACTTGATCTCTTTCCTAACTTCAATGACTGAGTCAAGCCAATTGCTTTCTCTATTTTAAATTGGAAAACTTAGGTTCAGTGTAATATTGTATTCACTTTATCCCTTATATCAGATTTGTTACTCAATCCTAATCTCTTGCAATGTTTTTTGTCTAACTTTCCGTTCTCATTGCCACATCAAACTTACTAGGTGCTCTTAAAGCATCTGTTTATTTCTCTGCCTTCAGTGTTCTTCTTGGGAAAAGCTTCATTAACTATTACTTGCATTTTTGCACTTTCTTAATGTGGAACCTCCAATAACTCTGGGCTATGTAACATTATTCAAGTTTCTATGTGGTTGCAATACCCTCCAGGATCTAACTAGGCCCATGTTTACAAACTGTACAGAGGTGCCCCAGATAGCTGTAAGAAACTCACATAGGTACCGTGCAATATTTTAAATGTTTAAAGGACACAGTAATACTAGATATTTGATGGACACTGCAAGAACAACTCGCTCAAGGTTGTTCACAAATTTAACATTAGATAATGCTACATTTCTTTTAATGGTGTTCTCAAAATTTTGAGCGATGTTTTTGTTTACTTGTACTTTTGGTCATATAATATCTTTGTTAAGCAGGATTTTCAGTGGTTGCTGTGATAAAAAGCAAGTATTGCACGAAACTCAAGGTAGAACAGGAAATAAACGTAATGGCATCCAACCTGATTCTAAGATTTGAGAAGGTGTATGCTGTCCAACAGGTAAAAGATCTCATTAGTAAGTAATTGTGGCTATTTAAGAAGGAAATAAAATATTATTTTGTCTTTAAATTTATACTTACATACATTATTTTTTCAAATGGTTACTAGGTTGTTAGAAAATAAATATTTGTTAATTTGTTTGGCCCTAATTACTTAATAAATGTACTGTTGGACATTTCTTT